ATTTTTTTATTGGTGCAACAAAAAAAATCATTGATTTACACTTCATGATTAATTCAAAGTTCATTCTTAATACTTAACGATGTTTTAGGACTCGGATTTTTCAGAAAGTTGAATAATTTTCAGCCAATGGCATTTGTATCTTATGTAAATTCGGACGGATGGCATTGAAGGTGGTGATGGGAATACACAGATACTGGTATTCGTTCAGAAGAACGTTCATGTTATTAAAGACCACATGCCACATTTACATTACCCTATTATTTAATAGATGGAGGAAATGAAATGCATACGGGATATTGACAATTTTATTATTCTTTCAGAAATAATTCTAAAGTCATTATTATTAATGATTAATACATCATCTGAAGCTTTTTATTAAGTATTGTTTATTATTGCAAACAGGGCCAAAAGTTCATGGAATCACTGTAAAAACTTTATTTCCGAACACATCCAGACAATACAATAAATGTTAGAACCTAATTTACAGAAGTCTAATTATATGTGTTCCAAGAAAAAAAATGTGTCAATTGAAAAAATCTGCAGTATAATAGAGACATTCAAATTATAATGTAATATTTAAGCATTTTTGGTTAATTTCTCAGCCTGATCCATTTTTTCTTGCTACAACAAAAAAAAACTTCTCATTGATTTACATTTCATGATGAATTCAAAGTTCACTCTTAATAGCTATACAAAAATCTGGAGAACTTAAGGTTTCCAAAGTCTGACGAGTCCATCTTCACTGTAAGAACACAACAGGTTTTGATGAGGGTGATGAGCAATACCTATCACGTCTTTCTCGTGAATCTGCAAAAGATAACGCAAATTATTTGTTAATGCAAAATTTGAAATTAAGAAATAGGAATAAAACAAAAACAGCATTCAAGAGAATTGTTGAAGTATTCTTACATTGAGAGTTCTTTCCAATTTCCCTGAGTTGGTCGAAAAACAATAAAGTACCATGTCTTCGCCTACACAGAATATCCAGTCACCTCTAGGAGAAACGCAGGAGCAGACAAAGTCACCTCCTTCTCGTTTACCGCTGGCGAATGATCTTACAATCTGGAAAATATAAAAAAAACGTAAACACTAAAGGTTGCTTGGGTCAAATAAATCATACTAAAACATAATAAAATTCCATTTAGCTTACAATTTTATTTTTCCAATATACTCTTTTGGAACATATCATGCCCCAACGTTTTAAATACTGCTGGGCGTTAGTTTGACCACTGATCTTTATGACTTTCGAATCTCTTTGATAAGTTCAACGAAATAAAAACTTGTTGCAAATATGCCATGTATACAAAATGGGTAAAAAATTAGTACATTTGGTGTAAAATCACCACACCTGGCAACCCTGATCAATTTGTAAGTGCATCGATGATGGCGTGGGAATAAGAGGGTTGTGTAAGTCTGCTTGCATATACGTTTAGCTTGACGCAAATATAAATAAAATAGTGATTTTCGGCTTTGGTAGCACTATCCGATAGTGCATTATTGGCAACTGTTCTGTGATTAATGTGAAAATTCAGACATTCGGATAGGAATAATATAAAAAAAAACCTTTTTGTGACAGAAAATAAAATTTGCTATCTGCCGCCACTTTTTGATATCAAATGAACAGTGATACGAAGCACTACATTGCAGTTGTTGACTGAATCTTTCCAAATTTTGAAACAGAATTTTTTTAATATAAAGAATTGACGGATATTTCCTGATACAGCATTTATTTTGCTTGACTTATTACAATCTTACCTGTCCTTGCAAATTTATGATAACCACGGTGTTTGTACGATTGCAGACGATGAAGTGCTCGGGATTTTTAGGAAAATTGTGGATATTGTTCACGCTAACATCTGTAGTTGCCAACGACTTGAATGTATTTACACATTCTGTAGTTTTTATGCTCCACATTTTCACTGTCCCATCTGAAGACGCACTACAAAAAAATAAATGCTATTATGACTGCTACAAGATCAAGGTGAACATATTTTACCTGAGGATATTGTGGCCATCTTGAGTATAAATCACTTCATTAACAAACGATGTGTGCCCTCTGAATTCCTTCAGTGTTTTGCCTGATTTCAGTCCATGTATCCTAAAATATATTTTATTGATAACATTGAAACAATCATATTTAAAAAAATTTTTGCATACCTGATTGTGTGGTCAAATGACGCACTCAGCACCTGACTATTATCCCTGGAGAATTGCAAACAAGTGATACCCTTGGAATGTGCTTTATCGATTTTTCTCAAACATTGTCCAGTGCTTATTTTCCAAACCTTCACTCGACCAGCTTGAGATCCGCTAACCAACATTTCACTGTCTCTTGAGAATGCCATACATAAAACTGCATGTTCCATCATCATGAAATTTTCCTAAAAATAAATTAAAAACAGAAAGTTATCAAGTCTATAACTCCGATCAGCTTCTTCCCTGTGAGTGCTGTAATTGGATGGATTTATTACCAATTGAGAAATATGTATACAGAGAAATCCTTATAACTGACGTCATAATGTGTTCGAGAGAGAAGCGTCCAATACGTACGTTAGAAATAGTGCGTCGATGGCAACACTACAAGCCGCAGCTGCGACACGCGTGTTGCTAGGCAACGTGGTACTTCTATCTCTTTCTAACATACGTATTGCACGTTTCTCTCATACACATGCTCTCGCCATTGGTATATGGATTTCTCTGTATATAGCTACCTGGGCTTGGTATTTGAGATCCTTCCTGATTTTCCCTGTGGTGAAATTCCACACTTCAATGATGCCATCAACACTACCACTGATCAGATACTGGCCATCTGGAGAAAACCTAGCACACTCCACATGAGACTTTTGGCCAAACTTGATCTGCTTAGCCATTTGGGTTGGAAATGTTTCTTCTTCTTGTTCTCTGACAGCAGCCTTACCTGAAGATCGTAATTATTGATATAGAAACGTAGAAGTCCGCTAACACCGTCGGAATTATCAATAATTTCAGATGATATAGGCTAAAAATGCTGATCCAAGTACCACACGCCTTTCTACTCCAAAATAGGATGAGATGTATAACCTTGAGGATGAATAATGTACAAATTATAGATATAACATACCTCTGAACAAATCAATAGTTGTTCCAGGTGGCAACAATCCTTGATGTTGCTGCCATTTCAAAGCTTGTCCAAGTAGAGCAAGCAAACGTGATGATGGTACTACTGAGACTTCACCAGACAGTGCATGCGCAATTGCAGCTCTTCTCTTTTCTTTGCTGCTGCCATCTGGATATGCCTCACGGGGGTCAAAATATGATCTCGCCAGTAGATTTTCTAGAAAAACATATCAGTATGAGGCAATTGTTTGTAATTGAGCAGCCAGAAAAGCAAAACGTAAACATTCGAGTACCACGGATATTATAAAAAAATAGGTAGAAAATTTTTCTGTTACAAGAGACAAAATTGGAGGAATAGAAAAAAGTTTGTTGCTCTATATTTTTAACCAAAGCAGTTGACTTAGGTTTTTGTCCTGAGACTGCATAGAGAATAATAATTTACAGAAATGGAAAAAAATAAAAGTGTAATGAGTCCATTCAGCAAGTTTATCTTCAATTTGCTACAAATAATTACTCTTGTTTTTTCCTAGAGTGCACGGTTTTCGTAAAAATAAAACAATCACCATGAAGAGCTGAATAAAATAGCAGGCCTTAATACCAACTTGACATTTCTTGTCAAATTGTATGTCAAAGTTGTGTTATACGGTTTTTATCATTGTTGTTGTGAAATGGAATTTAGCAATGATGAGTACGCAGTTATTATTTTTGTGTACGGGTTCTGTAATGGAAATGCTTTAGCGCCTTGGTCGGGAGTATCAACGTAGATTTCCTAACAGACGCCAAAGGATTTTACGCGTTCATTTCTAAGACATCCTCATACCAAATTTTAGTTCATTCCAGTTGATGGTCTTGAAAAAACTTGTTTTTATTTTTAAGCTTCAACACCCTGTATCTCTTTAATGAAGCCCTCGAGGAAAAAATGTTACATAAAAGACCTCCCTTAAAATGCGGTCCTGTGTATGTTTCATTTTTGGTCACAACTTGTGAATCACCCTGTATACTTATGTCAGTAGAATGAAAACATAAAATCAATAAAGCCTTATTTTGTTGACAGAATCTTCCAGTATGCTTACCTAAATGAATATATCTCTCAGGTTCATTTTGTTTCAGCATAATCATAGGATCAGTCTGTCTCAGCAGAGATCTTGCAGCTCCCAATTCTCTCAATTCGATCAACTCTAACACAATCTAAAATATCAGTTTAAAAATATAGGTAAAGTGTGCTGTAGCACAAAGTAATATTTTGAAGAAGTAAAAACATTGCATACCTGCTCATAGAGATCTATCAACTTCTTATCAGGCAACTTAAGAGACTGGATAGCTTTCAGAACTGTATCCCAATGTCCATTATTTATATCTGCACAAAAACTGTCCACACTATCCACAGTATTCAAAGTAACACCTGTTTCTTCCTATAAGAGGTTTGTACAATGAGTATACTGTATTGCTTTAAGTGAAAAATCAGAGGATAACTTACTTGTAATGTGTGCAAGGTCCTGAATAAGTTTGATTCCTTCAAATACTGTTGGATTAGACGAATAACGCTGTGAAAAAAGAATTCAGTTTAGCAATAATCCGGAACTTGCAAATGTATAATCTTGGATGGCGAATAAAACTTACTCAGCGGATTCTATCTCAATAGACATGCTTGTTTCTACAAAGAAAATACTATCTCAATTCAAATTTCCAAAAATTCCCTGAAATAAACAGCCGCACATCAACACAAGCAACAAAATTTGTTTTGCAGGTTAGCTGTCACTGTCAAATATATGGCAAGCTCTGTCAAAAAGGCATGATGATAAGTATTCGTATCGTTCGATTACCGTTATCCAGCTCTACAGTAAATTTGACAGCTTTCTAGTGCTATTAAAAGATGTTAGAGATGAGAAGAAACGTATTCGGTACGATGATGGTATTCGTTTCATTGGTTCAATAAATTTGACGTTTGCATATCAGCTGACAAGCAAACAAACTTTGGAAAAATAAACAGTGAAAATCTTTGATTATACACCTTGCGGGTGAGTCTACACAATTTCTGCTCCATTGACCAAAGAAGCTTGACAAAAAATGGCTGGATGTGTCCCCTGTTTCATCATTCCATTGCTGTTGTTTATTTTCCATCGATACATTCAACCGATTCTACTGAAATTCTGGAACCCCTGGGAAAATTCTGCAGTGAAGGAAAATGGTGAGAAGGAAAAATGCACCTTCAGTTGCGACTGCAGTTGGAATAAGAAAAAATCAGTGGATGGGGATAAGGAAGAAACTGAAAAATTGGTTGAGAAAGGGCTGACTGATTGTAATGACACGGAGAAGCTGAAGGCTTCTTAATGGTATCTTGTTTGTCATTTTTAATTGAATATATTTTGAACATTATTTTGTTATATGCACTATAGTGTTGCATTTTCAATGGATTAATAGTATTTATTATGAATATGATGTGAAGTTTCAGGGTATTTTTTTGTTATTTGTAGACATACAGCATCACAAGGACTAAATAGTATATTTTAATTTCCACCCTACATTATATATTTGTGTAAATTTTCAAATTCATAAATCCAAGATATGGACAAAAAGTGGTAACTACAAAAAAAGAAAACTAAGTAATTGGGGTCACATTACAATCATTAATGGTTATATTCGCATTTAGCACCCCAAATTACCAGTGTCATTTTATTGATAGGACTCACCAGTGGCGACGCGTGACTTTTCCTAAACTGTTATCAAAACCAGATGTGAAAAACCTTATTAAAAAAAAAGTTTATTTTGAACCTCCCAAATATAAGTTTTTGCTTATCGTAGGTATTTTATTTAAATTATCTTTAAATTAAGGTAAACATTCCTGGACTGAGTGTGTCTGGGGCACTTGATATACCTCATCGTCTTATGCTATGACTAATCCAAGCCGTCCGAAAAAACAGTCGACGTTTCTAGATGTTCGGAAATTTTTTGATCTTTTTTGGCAATGAATGTTAATAATTCCCTGTAATTTCCTCTATTGTCAGAGTCATCCCCTTCAAAATGAATGGGAATTCCTGTTTTGCCAAAAAACATACCGTATCTAGAAGTGTGCTGCCTAAAAGCTGGGTTAAGATAACTTTCGATTCTTGTTTTGCCAAACTGAATTAAATTGGCTACACATCTCGTATGTAACGGAGACATTTCATGCCTCCTCTTTAGAGCCCTAAAACTATTTAAATTGTTGACTCCGCTGCTGGTCCACCCATTTTTTTCTGTATAAAACAGATGACATCGCCAACAATACAATCTGTTTTTTTGCAACCACATAACCCAAGAGTTTCCATATACCAACTTAATTTAAAATATCCAACTACGTTTTTTTATTCCTTTTTAAAATTATCTAAAATAGGTGTTGGTCTTCCATCTTCAATGATGTCCTTTTTTTTCTTAAAAATTATACAAGGAGAATGACTTTTCAAGTAGTTGATCGATTACGCAGCGACGCTCATCCATGTTTAATTGCACGCACACTACAGCCGGTAACCATGGTAACAAGCCCACATAATTGTCGCATCGCCCCACCCACTCGGGCGACCGCGATCAGACACGAGCCGGCTCCGAAGGTCCCCGACGGACTACCAAGTGTATCCATAAATTAAAATGGTAACAACCGCCAACCAAGTCAGCTTCATCGTCTTCTCAAAACCTAGTCGCTATAGGTCGCATTATTTTCATGGGGCTAATTTGCTATTTACTGAATTACTATTACATATCGCTGTTGGTAAACAAATAAATGAAATTATTTCACAGTACTTAGGCATAAAATATTTATTTCTAAGATTTTTAACTGTTACCAATGGTTACATGGACGCTTCGCCACTGGGACTCACGTGATGTCCAAGCAACCCATTTTCTGCATCATTTATTATGCTTACACTATTTTATTGGACAAGAGAATGAATAAAAAGTTCATTGTAAATGGAGTATGGAGGAATAAAAGTCGTTTATATTCCGGATGTTTTATTGCAGTAATCATAATTCACTGCAAATGAAAACAAATAATATATTAGATACATTGATATAACATATACAAATCTATACCATAACATCTAAATAAACTGTCTCAACATTACACATTCAAAACTGGAAAGTTTGGTAAAGATAAATAGAATTACAACTGAATTTTTCTTATCCTCGGTCTACAAAACAAATGATATGAATGAATATCTACAAATTTCATTAAAAGCTGCTAAGACTATGGACACGGAAATAATTTGCGGAAACGTAAAAAAATATAAAATGTTGCAAAACAATATATAAAAAGGTACAAAGATCTACAACATAGCAAAAATAACAGTTCAACCAAGCAAACACACAGTATTGGTTACAATTTTTCTCATGAATAATGGTGTTACTACATTTTATTGTCTTTATTAGACATTCAAGCTTTGCTGTTTATACTGAAGAAGATATCAAATAATTAATGTCTTAAACCACCTTTTTTTGTACACAAAAGTCACAAGCTCGAGACAAAAATGGTCTCTGCTGGAAACCATTTGAGTTACTAGGCTTTGTGCACCATCCTCGAATTATCAAGTGAACAACAAAATGTACTATGTAACAATAAATTCTGAACAGCACCAAAAAACTAAAAGCAAAAATGGAGGTGGCAACTATGTTACAAAAATGAATTTCCTAATATTTGCATCACTGATCCTTTGTGTTCATCCCGAGTGTGTTAGTATCCACAGTAGCCGAGACAAGCCTGTCATTTGAGTGAAGCGACTCGTTGACGTCTTCAGTGATATACTTCATCCTTTTGAATGGTAGATCTTCATTGGGCAGATATTCATCAATCTCTGGCTCGATGAACCCCTTTTTATTCAACCCTCCATAGTCACTATTGACAAACATCTCTGGCTTGTCCTTGAATAAAAAATACACAGGTTAAGAGCAATGTCACTTGGTGACATTAGAAGTGTTACACCCAGGCAACGAGGTAGTCTTATAGAAAATGAAACGATAACAATCTCACGAAATATTATTGACAATAGAAAAAAAAACACAATAATTAATAACTGGAACTTCATGGATTAGCTGTAGCAGAGTCTGTCCCATCATATCCCAGGCATGTTTAATGAAATTTAAATCTGAAGAACGGGGTGGCCACGGCAAAACATTAACGCCTGCTTCTTGGAGAAAATCCGTAGTACGACGAGCAATATGCAAATCAAATATCACGTCGTTCTACGCCTCACCCTTTTACGACCATCGGGCGTACCTAGAAAGAATAGCGATTGGTCGCTGAAAATGACATATGCCACTGTGCCTCCCAATGTTGCCGTTCTCTGGTCCAGTTAAAACGTTCACGTCAGTGGTCCGCAGTCAGAGGAAGCACTAACCGTCGACGGTATGAAAAAAGTCCAAAAGATCGAATGCGGCGATAGAGTACACGCACCTTCTTCTCCAAACCATTGGTCAGCGATCTGACGCGTAGTCGCAAAACGGTCTGGCAGGGCTAGTTGTGTGAAGCGCATATCTTGACGCTCTGTTGCACGCCTCAGTGGACCAGTTGGCCTTCGTGTTCCTCTACCTTCTTCTATCCACACACGACACACACGCATTACCGTCATTGCAGTATAATTAACACGGCGGTCAATTTCGCGATAGGACAAACCAAAATGTGATAATTTGAACGTCTTCAAACTCGAGGCATTTTGTTATGCGGAACACCAGTAAATGAAAGGGCAATAACTAAAAATATCTGTACTACTCAGCTCTTAGAAACTGCTTTCTTTACAAAAACTAAGAAATAACATTTTAGCAAAGGTAAGCAAAAATAAAGATAAAACATTGATCTTGTTGCCAGGGCATGCTTTACATATCATTGTTGCCAAAAAACAAGTTGAAGACATTCTTTTTTCTGGGTATAACACTTCTAGTGTCGCTGATTATGTTTGAAATTCTTATTTAATGTAGTAAATGCTTTAGTCATAACAGTACATGAGACTTTTGTGAAGTGTAGTCACAATAGCACTCTGTAGACAAAAAGTGGAATTTCAAACCACACAAGTCGTTAACTTTTTTGATACCCAGTGTTTCAGTACCGTGAAACTTGTTCTGACAATCACAAACCGATGGTTGAACAATAACTGAAAGAAAATAAGATAAAATCCTTACCCTCTCCAAAAATCCTCTTACGGCTTCAACCACCTTGCCGAACAATCCCACATTGGAACTGTTGTTCTCAGAAAGCAGTCCTCCATACTTCTTCTCCATCTCCTCAATCATCTTGGTGAACTCCTTGTCAGTGGAGTTCTCGATGTCCAACTCCTCCGCAAGTTTTGCGCGGTTGTAGTCGTCTTCATCTTTGAAGATCAGGAACTCCTCCATGTTCACTGCGTCGTCTTCTGTCGCTTGTGGGCTATAAAGAAAAAAATATAATTTGATATATTTCTGGGTACGTGAAAAAAATATAAAGGATAGCAGGACTACTACAGAGTTTTACCACTCTCAAAACACCTGACACGTGTTGCGCTAACGATGTTAGCAACTTCAGGGGAAGATTAAGCGGGGTGTTCGCAGGGTATTGAGATTAGAAAATTTTAAATTAACATTCTTGAGATACTAAACTGAATCGTGCAGCCTCACGCGGACGGTCCTGGTAGCCAGTAGGATAGTTCACACTTTTTTTAAGTAGGTCTTAAATAGTTAATATGTGTCCTAAAAGACTGTAAAACTTTAATCTAAAAATATATATTTCTTAAGCCGCGTACAGACCGAGATTCCAACGGAAGCCAAGGCACATGTGGTTACAGATTTGGAGGTGTTCAAATCGGTGTGTACGGCGCGAGCCAAGCCTACGCTTTCCAAGGTCGGCGCTGGCGTTCTATTGCGTTCGCTCCTTGATGGGTACGTCACAGGGAGGTTTGATTTGGTCTGGACAGGATTTATTGCGCTTCTAGTATTTAATAATTTGTCTGTATTCCAATACCTTCCAACAACAAACGCCAACGTCACGTGTGCTTGCGTTCGTTTGCTCGGCGTTGGATTTTCGTCTGTACGTGGCTTTAGACATGCGAAAACGCTATCCGCCATGTTCGGCTCTGTCGTCATACCATTTGTAAACGTCAGCTGATATAACCTCTCAAAATTTCAAACATATAAATACGACTTTACTATTTTACATAAAAAATATAGCAAATATCCTGATTGTATCGTCCGAGAATGTAGAAACACATCGATAAAGGCGACAGGAAAGCTATGAATTAGAGTGTTCAAAAAGTATCGCAGATTTTGAATTTTCGCGCGCTATGTAGGTTCGATTTTTGATCTTTTTATGGCGTTATGTTGGTACTCATGACCCTCGCTAATATTGACAATATCGGCCATTTTGAATGTTCAGTCAGTTTTTGACAGATATTGTGCGTGGACGTGTTTAGCTTGTCTCCGATTTTTGTCTATTCCAAAAAATGGATCAAAGAATTTGTATTAAATTTTGTATAAAAAACAACTTGAAGTGCACGGACTTATTCCAGCTATTGACTGTTGCATACGGCGAAGCTACCGCAGGGTAGAACGGTCAATAAGGAGTATTACGTTCAAGTAATGCGCAATTTGCGAGAAGCAATCCGCCAGAAACGCCCGGATTTTTTGAAGAACAAAAATTGGCTTTTGCACCATGATAACGCCCCTGCTCATGCATCGTTAATTGTGCGCGAGATTTTTGACCAAAAATAACGCTCCAATAATGCCTCACCCACCGTATTCCCCAGACCTGGCCCCCTGTGACTTTTTCTTGTTCCCGGAACTGAAGAGGCCCACGAAAGGACGACGCTACGCCAGAAGAAATACAATATTTGATAAAATTATTCGGAGGTTATGACGCATGAGCTTAGTTTTAAATGACTTCTGAAAAGCAAGTTTATTTAAATTTATCACTGTTAATGTCTGTCATTATATTAGCTGCACTGTATTTACATAGAAGTCTTGATGTTCCACAGTTCAGCAGACCAGAAATCTGGGTTAAAGGCAAAAAATTACCAACCATCAATGTGCCAATTTTCGGCAAATTTGTGCTTTCTGCTTTTACGAATCCACCATCCATTATTATTTATTTTCAATAAAACGAGAAAACGTTAACTTTTTACGTTGATATATTTAAGGAAGACAACGTAAATCCAGCGACATGGATGACGTTTCTTTGTTTACAATTTGTATGACTTCACATCAAGGCCGACAGCATTTTCAACATTTCGTATTATATATCCAGTTTATGCTTTTAAAAATTGAAATGCCAATGGTAAATGTCATTATTATCAGGGAGATGAATATTTATAAGTTGACACTCATTACTATGAAGATGTTTGGTGAATAGTCGTTAATGAATGATAATACCAAACAAGTTGTCTAGTAGACACAAACCTGGAAAGTAGTGATCTTCTAACAGCCACCTGCTCTTGCTCTGTGGACAGGCTATTCTTGTCGTTGAAGAGCTTCATGTTTGGCAAAGACACCAATAGGGCCGAGAGAAGGACGACCATTAGGCAAGTCGACGGCGTCGCTTTGGTTGTTGTTGAATTTTTGATCATCGCTTGCAACTTGTTGACGTGCGCGATCAGCGTCTTATTTTGACGTTGCAATGCTCTGACTCGTTGCAGCAGGTTTTTGTTTTCTTCGGAGCCGCGTTTCACGCGATCTTCCAGATTGTCAACGTACTCCTTTTTGCGTTTTCGGGAGTCCTCAAATACAAAAGGATGATCAAATTTGAGAAATATATGATAACAATTCACACACCCGATTTAACACCGCCATATCTATTTCCAATACTGCCTACATTATTACAACAGTATTGCAGTTATGGCAGTGTTGAATTGTGGATGCAAATTAGTAATTTAGAAATATGTTATATGAATGCCATATGTGACACGCTTTTAGAGCCGTATCGTCAGTCGTACCTACAATTGTACGACTCCTTTATGGCCTCCTTGATTTTCATAGCATTTTCTCTCCTTCAGAAAGGCTTTTTTTTATACCCCAACTACCACGAAGGCCTAAGGCCTAAGCACCCATTGGGTACCGTGGGGCTATAGGGGGATACATGGGAAAGAGGGAGGTATTTCTAGATTTCTACTGTTCCGGGTGAGCGTCATTCCTCTGCTGTTCTGAGGTTATGTTTTCTTTTTGAATTTTAAGAAATTTCAGACTAATAAGACAGATAATAAAATCGAGTTATATCAGCCTGAAATACCTTAGAATTCAATAAGAAAATACAACCTCAAAATACACTAATTACTACAATATTGTACGAACAACTGACGATACGGCCCTTAGCGACGCTTTAGCTTAAGCCTACTAGGTAGATGCCATTCTTAGTGCAAACGAAAAGAACAAAAATCGTGTCAACACGTCCGCGGCCAATTTTGGTATGACTGAATATTCTGTCAGATATTACATGCCTTAAAATGATTCAAGCCAAGCGGTCGTGAATCGCGAGTTTAACGCGGGCGCCATGATGATGAGCTACAGCATCATCATATTCGTTGTACAAACGTCACGTCAGGCCCATAGCAATCGCTCCTTGTTAAAATCTATGATTTGTGAACTAAGGCCATTAGGTGCGTAGAATTACGGGGGATAGACGTGAATTTACATATATATACTAAGATCAAAAAATTGCGATTAATCCTTCCCCACTCCCCAACTTTTTTTACCACTAAAGTGATCAGGATACTATGAAACGTGAAGTTTACGCCTTTTTATCTTTTTAATTTTTTTTTCAAAAACTACACAAAGCTTTTACATCCTTAGCAACGTAGTAATCTTGCTTGAAAATTTAATCCAAATCCAAGTTGTACTCTATTCAAATTGATTGAAATGAGTGACATTTGTCATGATGTACATGTCACATAACATCCAAGAAACATAATATATTTTTGCAATTACAATACTTCGGTGCCAGTAGGCATGGGAAGTAAAAATAGTTATTTATGTATCTAGGGCACTTTATTTGTGTGCAAGGCCCACAGCGTTGAATAAAAGACTGTGTTCAGTGCTGCAGGCTCTAACATGCTGAAAGCCATAAGTAGTGCTTAATACCTGAGATATTCATTTGGAGTAGCATTTACCTGTATGTGAATATAAAAATAAATAAATTGGCTATATCACCACCAACAACTAGTAGCCTAGCAAGAAAAAAATATATATTTCTGTAGTTTCCTTGTTGTTTATCAAAATAAGTCAATTGAAGAGAGTGTGTGCTCACATTTCTTTACTTCTCTATGTCAAAAAAGTGAGAATAATATTCATAAACTAACTATATCATAGAAAAAGGAAAATTTGTGGTATATTATAGATAAAGAAAAAATGAGTACAGCTGTACCTGTGCAGATATCTTATTCCTTATTTTCCTACGAATCCTCTTCAGTTCCCTTTCTTCATTTTTAGTTAATGGATGATGTGTTGGTAACTGAATTCCCTCTTTCTCTAGCAATTTCTTCTCTTCATGCGTTAAAATTAATGGGGGATACTGATTGGTGGATGATGTTACTTCGCTCTCTGAACCTGAGCTAACCACTTTTATTTTACGCTTTCTTATGTTAGACAAAGCAGTTAGATTCACAGGAGAAGCATTCAGAATTTTTATGCTTTTCAAGCTGAGTGGGAGTAAAACCGGGCGCCCATTGTTAAGAATGGGTTGAACCTTAAGAATCTGAGGTTTGACTTTCAGAGGGCCCGTTTTTAGCTGTGTGGTATCAACAATAGGTTTGGCAATGAATTTCTTGTTGTTGGGATTTTGAATGAGAATTTTTGTAGGCTGTTTCTCAACCGGGGCAGGTACAGATATGACTTCAGGTTTAGTTTCGGGTAACGATTCTAACAGGGACATCAAAAGGGGGTCATCAAAGTTATCAATATTGTGTACGTTGGCAGAATCATCTAGGTCAACATAATCTGTGCTGGACAAGCTGTTTTTATCACTTTCAGAGTAAAAGCTTTGCGGGGAAAGGACTTCATCCATATGCGAGCTAGTATCACTAGACAAATTGATATCATCCTCCAGTGCTGATAAGAACCCATCTTCCATATTGTTCTCTAATGATAAGACCGAGTCGAAGAATTCCGAGCTCATCAGGTCGGACTCATCGTAGTTTAGAGACACGTCCATCGTGTCCATCGTTTTGCTGGCCTCTCCTCTGCAGGTTTGACGAAAATTGCCGGATTTTTAAACACTATAACACATATACTTTTCCACTCATGATGTAAAATTGAACGGGTGTTTTTGTAGACGTCAACCTTGTCAACGTAATCAAAACTTGACAAAAACAAACGTCATCACAATGTTGATGTTGTAATTGAAAATAGGCAGGATCAATACGCGGGAGCAACATTGGTTGCATGCAGTATAAATGCAATTGCTAGTGATGAGTAGACGTTCCCATTCGTTAAAAAAATATTCGAATATATTCCGCTAAAAGGAATGGACCTATCGACTTTGGATTTGTTTCTGCAAAAATTACGAATATAAATGTATGAATGTCTTTATTATTTAAATCAGCGAATTACAGTTTGATTCGAAGAAAGACAATTTTACGAGCAGCACTTTAGGGAGTGAGTATTTTAATTCAGTTTGCTTCCAACTGAGTCATGGTTTGTAGAAACATACTATAAGACAACATCGTTTTCACCGCCTAAAAGAGAAATTTATTATCTTTCTACTATAAGAATATGTTGCAAGTTTAAGATTTCCTTTCCAGAAACAATTAAAAAACTTACGCCGAACGGTATGGATTGAAAACGATCTGACTAAGCTCGGAAAGCATCAACACTTGAAGACACTCATCGAACACTCACATATACAAATTTCGTTATTGTTATAGGAATCTGACATTTTACAGTATTTTCAAATCCGATGTGTAAATGAACAGCTAGAGATAGGACTGCATTTGATGTCGCAGATTTTTTTCGAATACTTAATATCGCGCTTTGGTGTGTTGCTAAGAAAATTTGCTTATTTTCATTACGGGAACTCTACATCGTATAAAGAAAAACCCTGACTTTGAAAACACACTGTACAATCATAAAACTCACGGCCATTCCAGTTTGCAGATCTAGATTCATCAATCCACCAGCTGAATATATCACTTTTATTTGACTCTTTCCCAAAAGTATCGCAAAATTTTTATAACGGGAAGGATGTAGATGCCAGTCGTTGAAATACAAAGCTTGAGACAGAAGTTCAGCCTGAAAAAGATTACTAAAGCCATTATTTGAACATTGGATCTTATCAGAACTTTAGGTACCTCGTCTTTAAGGTCTTGTGCTGGGCAGCAATAGCAAATGAAGAATTCGAAAAACATTTGAGCTGCGTATACAGCGGCTCCAAGAACATCGGCTAGAGAATCCCTGAAAATCGTTTTGAACTACTAGGACCATTAAAGTATTCTATCTGAACCTACCATATACTGTATCGAGTATCAAGAAAAGAAATCGGAAAGATACTATATAGCGCCGTCTATGAGATAGTAGCAGTACATAAAAATGAATTTAAAAATATTTGAAAAGAGAGTGTTTAGTTTTTGTGTTCTGCTATACTGTCTGATATAGATGGCGCTAGTAGCTTCGAGATCCTTTTTTGGACGCTGAAATAAAGCATATGACTTTTCTGGTGCAATACGTTATTTAATGGTAGGACTTATTAATGTCGTGGTATCTTTTACCAGACATTATAATACCAGGTATACTTACAGAGACATTATAAGATACATTTCGATGCATAAGATAAGAATGATCACACCCATGTAAATCAACATTAAATATGAAAATGTATCGTTCAGCATTGCCCTAAACCTGAGAAAACAAAGATGTAGTTATTATGTGAATAATATATCATCAAAAAATGTGCATGTGGCATAAGTAAAAACGTAGGATTTTGTGGGGCTAAGTATAGGGTAAGAAAATGGGCCGTATCATCAAATTGACATCGGATTCGGAATCTACACATCCTCTTTACTCATGATTCGAGACTTTATCCCATGTCACAGATTTTAGAAAAAAATTCATAGGAAACTTTAAATATTGTTGCGTTTTTCTGGGTTCTTTTGGGTGTGGATTAAAACATTGAATTCCACAAAAAGAAACGCACTAATTTATTTTACTTGACTAGATAGAACATTTATGTACATCACTATTTATGTCTAATTCTTATGTCGCGCCATTGACTGCACTATACTCTACTCTACCGTACTCTGTACTCTGCTTCCATCTCCCGGCCATCGAACTATACAGTCCCCATCGCTGATTCGAGAAAGATCTGGCGAGCCACAAAGCGGCATCTAGAATATTCTTCGCGTCGATCTAGAAGGCGAGTCACTGGTACGGTCCCCAACAGATGTCACCAAGCGGCTTGTGCGGTCATGGTCCGCGTAAAAGCAGAGATCGGCCATGCAGCTCTGGCTAGTAGGAGAGTCTCCCAACAGATGGCGCCAACAGTACTATTTTTTTATCGACACAATATGTTGTAGGACTTTGCAGAGAAGATTTTCCATTTTCATCAAGCGTTTTCGCAAGCGATTCAAATTTTTTGCACCTAGGTAACAGGCTGGTTAGCCGACAATCAAAAAGGTTCGTAGATGTATTTTCCTTATAGTGAAGATTCTTCCAGCAGTGGAAAAGCCCATCTAGCAAGAAACTCACGAACCTTTTGGTGGGAACTGTTTCAACAACATTGTTTAAGCAAAAAATTTGGTCAACGAAAAATTCTCCCAAGAAATGCTATTTATAGAAACCTTGAATTGAGCGAAGTGATACATTATGCATGTTGGACAGGCCATTGTTAGCAAAAGCAACTCGCAAAGATTTTCAAACGGTTCGCAAATATCAGTTGTCTAAACGAATCGTTAAAAAAGTGTCATTCAATGATAGATAGTTCCTAGTGTGCAAATAGTACATTCCACGTTTGCTCGCTAGAGCGCTATAAGCGTCCATCTATGGAGGAATGACTCAACGATATGACACGCTCAATGACCCATCAGGCTTTGTTTTTTGCAGAATGCCAAGAAAGTCTGTAGAGTATCCTCTGAGAAGATGTGTGGTTGAGTAGCAGAGTAGCATGATCACATGGCCGGTTGAACTGGACTATAAAGACTGAATATGTGTCTTTACGAAACTATAGCTGAAATACCTTGTAATATCTATACATACGTACTCCAAAAGAAATGTGTGATGATCACTGCATCTTTTGATCCTCAAGTCAAAATCACTATTATGTCTATTGTCGCAAAACATATTCTCAATCTCATATCTCAGCAATCTGAACTGCAACTTTGTCATGGTAAGCATATTGAGTACAATAACGTCTAAGGATAGCTCTAAAACCACCAAACCACTTGCTGGTATGTGCTCCCAAGCAAAAAGTATCCAGAAATCGACGAATTCAGGGATGTAGGATTTGAATAGCATGTTATCTATGTTTTTTTCACCTACAAAATAAAACTCTTTGTGAGGATTTTTTGCACTTGACGGCATTGACAACACAGCTGCTTGGTGCGATTTTTTTGAAAAGGCAAAATTTATAGTTTCTGCAAGGTAAAACAAAATTGACGTTGAGCTTCTGATTAACTTTCAAGCAATAATTAAAATGATTTTTTAAGTATGTTATACTAATGTAATCAATGCTAACATTTCTTAAATATCTGACACACTCTGCTTTTCGTGCCTTTCCATAAGGTTTTCGATACCTTCTGGAAAATTTAGGGCAATATTACTGCGATTTTATTGCAATATTATTCTTCAAATAGGCAATGTTTCTTGGCGCTCTTAAATATCAAACTGCCTCTTCGTCAGTTACAGTGGTCCTCGAAAACCTCCACAATATAGCCATTGAAATATATCCTGTAGTTTCATCTTGTTCACACACATTGCTTTCGACGGCTTTCATTAAGAAACGTTGCAGTACTATTCGGTTTTGTGTGCCAGCAATAGAAACCCCCCTCCCAGGTCCTAAACGGGGGTAGTGCTAACATGCTCGCTGAGATAAAACAACAGACTTGCTGCTCTTTTGTGTATTGCTTCATACGAATACTTTTCCCTCTTTGCCCTCCCATTCCTTCTCTTACTTGTTAACTTTCTTCCTTTTCATTGGTTTCTGGGTGACCAGACTTGTCAGACTTACAAACTGACACTATGACATAAGAGCTAAGGTCGTAAGAAGCGCTCTGACAATCAACTATGACTTGACTTCATAGGAATAATTCAAACTCATACCATAAATTCGATGTTACGTCGCACTGTATTACGCAATTGAAAAATGTGCGTCTAGAAATTTGAAATTAAAAAAAATCGTGGAGGGTAGTACCCAATAAGTTCCGTTCAAAAGCAGCGTTGAACAAGGCGCTACCCAAAGGTATATATATATATTTTTTTTTTTGTTATATATATATATATACTATATACAATTAAATTGTTAATTGGGAAATTTGCAAACTTTTTAGGCTTTAGTTAACTCTTTTGACGGTAATATCTAGCTTTCGGCAATTCTCTATGGAGCCTTCATCAGGAGCTGAAAACACAATGATGCTAGCAACCAATACGGGAAAGATTTAAATTGGCAAACAACTTACTCGTCGTTGAGGTTGCAGCCAAATGGTGTTTCAAAACGAGCGCGGGGATGAGAGCACTTGTTACAAATATAAAACCAACCGGACGGACACATTGGGCGAACGTATTAAAAATTAACGAGAAGTAATTTTGGGGACAAAAGAGCTAACTAAAGCCTAAAAAGTTTGCCAATTTCCCAATCAACAATTTAATTGTATATAGTATATATATATATAACAAAAAAAATATATATATACCTTTGGGTAGCGCCTTGTTTAACGCTGCTTTTGAACGGAACTTATTGGGTACTACCCTCCACGAATTTTTTTAAATTTCAAATTTCTAGACGCACATTCACCTTTTCAATTACGTATTACAGGGAGACGTAATTGTATTTTTTGCCCAACTGATCGTTGGCAATGGCAATGACTACTGCTCATACGTATAAAAAAAATATTGTGTACCCTACCTACCATCTTGTATAATTCTACCGTAACAAAATACAGTAGCGCAGAGTAACATGATTCCCACATAAGATATACATTTTGTCCTCAACGAGTGAGATTCTTCAAGATATTCTTTTCTTAGCGAAGAACAGTTGTAGTTCTCGATGCTCCAAAAGCGTTTTCGCATATCTGACATGAGCGCTGCTATTTTTGGTCTCTGGATGTAGAGGGCAATAAGGTAAAATGTGCCCTAAAAACAATAAGTTTTGGAAGACGATCCGGCGACCTTGCTAGAAAAGGTTCCAAATTGTATAAAAAGTAGTATATGCCATTGATTAGGAATGCATCGAGTTCTACTTTTTTCGGAAAGAAATCTGGAAATACCCCAGCCTTTCTGAAAGGAAATAGAAGAGTATGCAAATCAAGGAGGCCTTGAAGGCGTTCTCCAATTGTAGGACGCAAACAATGAAAGTCAAGGAGGCCATAAACGACTGACGCACCCAATATTGTTTTTGAATGTTTCACGTTAACAGTGTTTTTCTTACTCACATGAACTTGCAGCATGACATTGGTGAAGATATCGATCTTCTCTAAGAGCATTAAATGCCCGCTAGTATGAAAGAGCACTATCACGAGATACAACATGGTGCCGTATTGCGTCAGAAAAAAGTAGAAAAGGAACGATTGCATCCTGTTACCGCTTTTTTCTGGATGCACCCCGTAGATGTTCATGACATAGCAGCAGTAGTTCAAGATACGGAAATCCATCGTTCTGGTGGAAGAACACGAGTAAAAGGTCTTTATAAGGGAGGGGTGAGTGACTGAGTTGGACTTACCATACAAGGTGGAATAACAAACCTCCGGTCTAAATTTTAATTTTTTTGAATGCTTCTTTATAGATACCGAACTGTCGCAACCGCTATAGAAGAGGACTGAGCTAACTTGACGGTCTGAATTTTGTACTGGCAAGGTTGTCAAATCTGTGAAATTCCTCTTCTTCTAGATATCTACACAATCTTCGCTCTTAAGAAAGGATTTGTATCAGTCAGTTCTCGATGTGCCGAGCTAGAATGAAAAGTAAATGCTTGGCCGGTGTATTTGGAATGTTTAGAGCGTGACGGTATCCTGGATGAGAATTGCGATAAGGGAAGTCCGTTGGAATATCGGTAGAAGACTCAGATTACCGAGAGAGTTAGTGTGAAAGATGCTATAAAACTGAATTTATTTCACTCATTTCTTCAAGGATGCATGAAAATCTTCCGCAATAGATTTAACGCGCGCATGAAACAAGTATGAGCCCTCTAGCGATTCATTACGAAATCTCCGTATCTCCCGATTTTGGGCTTGCACGCACTGTACCTCTTTTTGCGACGTTGTCAGTTCTCGTTTGCGCTTTCCCGAATATATTCCAAAGTATCGCAGCACAAAACATGAAATACAAATCGTAAACAGATGTATGTAACCGTTTGTTAAGGGAAACCATTGTTCGATCGCATGGCCTCTTCCAAACTTGTTGGTATAGAGTAAGAGTTGGCTAGTGGAAAGCTGCTGATAGTGCAGCAATTAACGAGAGGTGTTTGTGCCAAGACACATCATCAGCCAAATACGAGGGTTGTTTCAAAAATAAGGTTCTGTTTGTCGGCTCCCCCATCACTGATATTAACAACAAGCGGCTATTTGTGACGCTCAGTCAGTGTTATCAGATCTACTGTTTTAACAGGAGATCTATTGTTTTTACCTCGATGCTACTGTTCTTCTGTTTTTACTATAAAATGTCCTATTATAACGACAATACGTTTTTTATACTTCTCACCTGCCACTCCCAGTAAACCCTAAAAATAGCTAGAGACATCAGTCTCGCCATCTATTTAACCGTTGTTAAACTAGGTGAATCACTTATTTACGTTTACCAAACCAAGCGCTAGCATCGCTCACAGATGGCAAATCCGTCAGGGAATCCGCTGCGATAACCCGATAATTCATTTTTGTACACGTGTGTTGTTACCATTACTTCTTGGTTGTATGATGTAATAGGCGTCAGTTTTTGAATAGTGATTATTGACTGATCTGTTTGAAAGTCGAAGAACAGGAATAGGAAATCTACTTCTAGTATTGTATTGCTACTTTATGGCAAAACCTTCTTGAGATCAAAAAACAATCATGCCATTCTTTTGATTTTAGAGGGATGTTGAAGTTACTTAATTCTGAAATGTATATGAAAAACTTCGAACTGACTGATTTAGATTCATAATGATTAGTATTTACTAGTTTCATCGCCAAAGTTCCTTTTTATTATTGTATATTATTACTATTTTGATTTGGATAAATTAGTGTTTATTAGTTATACGGCCAACGTTTATTTATATATATTATTGCTATATGATTGTTTGGCTGTCTTTATTTACTTAGAAGCATGTTTTATTTAGTTTTCTTTGTGTCTATTTTATGTTTTATGAAACAATATACATATTTATTACAATCTACTGTTGGTATAGGCACATCTCCTGTTTTTTTTGGTCTTGTCCTTCTGTTGAGGGAAATATCCATCTGGCAACACTGCGCTCAGTACCGGCCCGTCGGACATGCGCAGCGGAGAACTTCATCGCCATTACCGTTAGGTGCGGTGATCCGAGTTTTGCACGCAAAAAAGTTACCACCCATAGAAATTCATCGCCAATTGAATGAAGTATATGGGAAAACGTGTATAAACAATCAACATGTTAAAAAATGGTGTACACACATCCACGATGAATAACGGAGCGGGAGAGGTCGTCAATCTCCGAGGAAGTTGTAAATTTAGCGAATCTTGATCTAACTCTGGAACTACCGGTAAGAATTCTCGAGGCTTTTGAAAAAGCTATATGTCTCACAGCAAACCAAAGATTCAAACGATTTGGCTGGGAATTTACTGTTCATCACCCCCTCCCCCCCCTCCCCCCCCCCCAGCCCTGACATAGCACCTAGCGATTTCCATCTATTTGTCTATTTCCCAAATTGAAGGAGCACCTAGACCGTCAACGGTTCGGGACGGACCAGGAGTTGCAGAAGCAGTTACAAAGTCTAAAAAATTGGATTACACGTCTGAAAAGATGAGTAAATTCCTCTTCGTACAGCAATTACCAGTTATTGGTTTGATATGAGCCGTGGACGTCTACAGGATGCCATTGGTACTTCAGATCGTTGTCCTGGATGTTTCCATCTGGAGCTGCATAGGTTGGTTTATATCGTGCAAGTGCCGTCGAGGTGCAAATAGAATACTTAGATAACCACAAATGTGGCAAATTTAACAGATTTGTGTTTTTGAATCGCACGACGTCAGATTACAGACAGTATTTTCGAATAAAAAGTGTGACAGGACAGAACTTAAAATTCCTTATCGAATCAATCGTGAGTACTTGTCTTCTATTTCTTTTTTTTTTATGTTTTCGATGTTTTAACACACATAATCTTTGTTATTTCGGAAGCAAAATGCGCCAAATTGATTAGACTGTGATATCCATATCCTTAACTTTATTTGTCAGAGAGGAAGTCGCTATTAGTGTTTTCAATAAAGCACAACCGCAGATGTTAAAACATTTTCAAGGGCTCCCCAACTAATCTACAATTTTGTGAAAAACCTACGTCTTTGACTGTCAATAGTGTCAAAACAACGAGGCGAGTCAACCAAAATTGAGCTACTTATTTGAAAAATCATCTTCTGAATACACGCCAATCGCCTAGGAGGAGCATAATGGCGACAAAATGTGAAAATCAAGAGATTTTGTTTTATGACATGTACACCACAAAAGATCATGTCGCTTATTTTCGACAGGTCTGTCTGCGTGGTATTTTCTTGACAATTCTTTAACTTAGAATTTGACCTTTTTGCATCAGGTTATTACCCTGCTAAGGACAAAAGAGCTTTGAGGATTTTTAAAATTGGTTTTTCAGTTTTTGAAGAACTTTGGATCCAATTTTTTGGGTTAGAACTTTTGAGAAATTACTAACTTTGTTATATGACGTTATGCACTCTAGGACGTAATCAAAGAAATTTAGAGGCTTGACAATTAGCTCCCTTATCGCTTACAACCAGGAATTTTCGTGTGCCCATAGTTTTAATAAGCTTTTAGCCTATTCGTGGGAAGTATCGTGTCAATATCTACTCCTTTTTTTTGTAGACCTCACTCTGTTCAAATATGGGATTTTCTGTTAATCACATCAATAATGTACCATTCTGTGGTCATTGTAAGGCGATAAGTTACAATAGCGGCATATACTCACGTGTAATTAATAGGGGCCTTCGTTAATTATAAAGCACTGAATTCTGTCGCCTTTCTTCTTCTTTTTCCATTTGACATTCATATCAATACTGATGTTTAGAGAACATTTTTGCTTTAATGACATCCTTTTCCATACAATACGTTGTAATTTGCATCAGAAAATGGTATACCGATTAAAATTTATTTGAAGATACGGAGCTTATATGTTTTTGTTTTGCCAAGGGTTGCTGGAATTGACATTTTGCGCAGAATTTTTGGTAAATAATTAACTGCCTGGTGGTCACTCGCAGATCTCGACATCAGATTCAGAATCCATCAACAGATTTATCTAGAAAACGAGCCGACATTTGCACATGGTTTTTGAATTTGTTTTAGAAGACGTTTTCAATTTCAATTTCAATTACAATTCTTGCCGATATTTATTTATTTATTTATAGCTTTTATTGCCCAACATATAATATTCCATTTATAGGTCAAAATCTTAAATTAGAAATATTACAAAAGCCTAACTTATAAAATTATCTAAGGCGCTCCCGCAAAACACATTTCAGCTCTGAAATAGAATATAAGAATATGTCACAAAATTTACAGATACTATTATAATTCAAACACATAACTCTTTCAGATGATTTCAAAATCAAATTTGTGTTAGCACGAATGCAAAAGAAAGTAACATTACATCTTGAAACGGATCTTGGCGTTAAAAACTGTAGTTGTGATAACAATTCCGAAGAAACTATAGTTCCATGCAAGAGTTTAAACAAAAAAAAATAACAGAACTGTGCTTCCTTCTCACATTCAAAGACGTCATTTTAAATCTGTCTAACAGAATTTGATAATCCGACCCACGTTGAAGGTAGACTCTATCGCACTTAAAAGCTAGATATTTAAGAAACTTTTTTTGAACATAATCTATCCTAGTTATATAACAGTTATAATTAGTAGGGATTCCATACTAGGGATGCATACTCTAACTTGTATCTTATATAAGCATATTACAGGGTGCGGCAGAGAGGATGGACGGTTTTAAAAAAATCATAAAATAGTTAATTTTTACTCGAAAACAAATTTATTGATGGAATCAGGTTCACAAGGAAATATCATTTGAGACAGTCAAGTGTGGAAAATCACATCAGGCATGTGGTGGCCGAAATCGTTGACGCAGTGCTGGAGCCGTTCTTGGAAGTTCGCGTAGACTCTCTCCAACATCGCTCTCTCAGCTTGGGCGACTTCCACGCGAATTTCGCCCTTCAATTCGTCCAGAGTTCGGGCCTTGTTCGCGTATACTCTAGCCTTGAGGTGTCCCCATAAGAAAAAATCGCATATGGATAAATCTGGAGATCGAGGAGGCCAATGAACATCGCCAAACCTGGAAATAAGGCGACCAGGGAAGAGAGGGCGAATAACGTCCATGGTATGCGGTCGTCCCATCCTGCTGGAACCACACACGTCGGATTGGAACACGTCGCCGGGCAGATCGAGTCGGACTGCGAAGAAAGACCTGTCGAACGCGTTCAACATTTTCAGGAGTTCGAACTGTTCACGGCGCTCCTCTTGGTCTTCTGTTGATCAGTTCAACCACGCCTGCGAAGTGATTCAACCCAACGAAGGATGGTGTTTCGAGAGGGAACAGCTCTATACCGATGAATGTTGAAGTGGCGACGAAACTCACGCTGTACGACGATGACTGACTCATTATTTCGGACGAAACAATCATAGGCGAAAACGCGGTGCTCCACCGTCCAAGGCTCAATAACGACATTAAATATCAAATGCAATGATAAGATAAAACGTTTGTCTCATACGAATACGATAAGCCAGATAGTCGTATATTAAAGGTACATAACATTATGTGAAGTTCCACGGTAAATAACCTAAAAGAATGGTGGTGAAACCCAAAAGGCTGTACTTGTTTGGTACAGCGGTGGCCTCGGGTGTGGCCGTAGCTTTAGTAATACTATGCTTAGCTACAGAACAATGGGTGGTGACGGATTCTGCCAGGTGGACAATTCAGGTGAACGCACCTCTAAGTGCCATTCGTTATGGGTTGTTTCAAGGAACGTTCCAGCAAACGGTCTCTACTAACTCTATTTTGCAAATTTCCAGTAAGTACTTTGCGCCGAAGTGTCAACATTACAAATGATTAATAATAAAACTCACTGTCAACGAAAATAGAAACAGGGGCGTAGGAAGGGGGTGCGGGTATCAGACCCAGAAGGGTGACAACATTGTTTTTGTTATATATTGTAATATGAAATAACATGAAAACATGAACTCAAACTTTTGTTTTTTGTTAAAAATTTGGAATTAGGTTTTTGTCCCAACATAATATTGAAATATTGGAAAAATGAGTTCGAACAGTTTTAATAGTCAAAAGTAGTAACAAAAATTCATCTTCAATTCCATAGATGATGAATCGGAGTCATAAGCATCATCACCTGTACTTATTGTGGAACTTCAATATTTTTTTTTCTTTCGAAAGTACCATAGATCAGCGTCCGGTACGTATTTTGTTGATAAAAGTTTAACAGCCTTTTTTACATCAAGCAGCAAAGGATAGGGTTGTATCGTATGTGAATTTGGAAAGCACAATGCCACATTTTCTTTTTCAATATAACACCTTGTAAAAACTGGGATGAATGTTGCAATACCGCATTGTACATATTTTAACCCTTTTTGATACTGGAAAAGTCGGTAGGTTGATATGCTGAACTTAACTTTTTCTTCGCTAACAAGAACAGATTTGAAAAAGTTGTAAGATGTGTTGCTAAATCTATGACCTTGTTCTGATCGACGTTTACAACTCAAACTCTTTGAAATTGAACGTACTAGTTTTTTCTATATTTATCGGGAATATGGATATGGTCATTTTCCAGGGTAGCGTATGCGTTTCTTGCCTTTTTTAGGGAGGACATCAATATCTTGAATCTGTTGTCTTTTTGTGTATTTTTTTGACAATGAGCAAATATACTAAGTGACATATAAATCCGAACACCCAGTTTAAATGGTTTTATTTTAATAAAATTTTGTATAAGTACTTAATGAAGCATAATAAGTAAATGATAAAAATTTCAAAATGATTGCACTGCTTTAAAGCTCTTTGACCTTTAATAATGTGTGGATGCACCCTGATGTGCTACGCATTCTCCAATGCGCCTAGGCATGCTTCTGATCAGGTGGTCAATGTCCTCCTGTAGTATCTCATTCCAGGCAACCACCAACTCCTCTCGAAGTGCTTCTGAAGTCTGAGGAGGCCGTTGCAAATTGAGCAATCTCCTACCCATCATATCCCACACGTGCTCAATTGGGGATAAGTCGGGAGATCTTGGTGGCCATGGTAACAATGTGACATCATTATGTTGAAAGAAGTCTATTGTGACTCTAGCAACATGTGGTCGGGCATTATCTTGTTGGAAAGTTGGATCTGCCAGGGTGTCAAGATAGGGTAAAAGATGGGGTTCTAGAACTTCGTGGATATAACGCTGCGCGATCATGTTACCTCTGATGAAGATTAAAGGTGACCTGGAACCATAAGCTATAGCACCCCAAACCATAACTCCAACAGTGTGATGAACATGTCTTTCAACAAAAAACTGTGGATTCCTCCTTTCACCACGTCGCCTTCTAACCCTGGAACGACCATCGTGCATGCCTAAACAAACTCGAGACTCGTCACTAAAGACAATACTGTTCCATTCCTGATCCCAGAGTGACCGTTGTCTGCACCACTCAAGGCGATTTCGTCGGTGTTCTCGAGTTAAAGGGAGGACCCAGTGTGGCCGGTATGAAAACAAGCCAAAACTTCTCATTCGTCGGTAAACACTTCGCATGCTAATAGGTCTTCCGTGTTCTGCAAACCATTCATTTGCAATGGACCTGGTAGTGGAGAAACTGTCCCTTAAGGCCAATAATCTTAGGCGGCGATCTTCACGGTCTGTTGTTCTACGGCGGCGTCCAGTGCCCCTTGCTCTTTGCGTACAGCCTTCTCGAAGCCATGCCTGACAACACCTAACCACAGTGTCTACACTTCTTTGCACTCTAACTGCAATTGCCCGAAAAGAAAGTCCAGCTTCCCGAAGTCCCACTATACGGCCCCTATCAAACTCACTAAGTTGACGAAATCGTACAGCTCTCCGTACTCTAGGCATCGTAACCGATCGTAAAGGATGTCAAGAACCAAAATCCGCCAACGTTGATTCTTTACTGCGGCTGAAATGTTCATTTTTAGAGCGTTAGTGAATTAAAAAAAAGCAGTATAGAAACCGGAATGTCCAACTGATAAGGCTGAAAATTTTTTCACTTGTTATTTACAGTAAGATAAATACATTCACCAACTTTTATTAAAATAAAACCATTTAAACTGGGTGTTCGAATTTATATGTCACTTAGTATAGTACAATCCAATCAGGAAGGATTCATTAAGGCAGGAGGGGTTTGTGCCCGGATACGTGGTCGAGGTGACTTATGACAATGTTCGTGGGGGTTGAAATTCCGCCCAAGATGCCACAAAACCTTACACCCAGTAAAAATTACTCTATTTGAGGACAGATATACATAAGCAAGAAGTCGCGATTAAGTTTTCTACCTTTCAGGCATGCTTAAATTCTGATGAGGTGATTTATGTATTCTTGTGGTACCTCATCCCAAGGTAGTAGTGATGTGCTTTCTAGTTCGTTTCGGTGAAGTGGTTCGATAGGTCGCGTTCACTAAAGTGAACTAGTTCGCAATCGAATCATTTTACACAACAGCAGCGTCGATCATGATATTTGGAGTAATAATCTCTTCGTAACACCTCGTATTGTTGATTTTTTGGGTTTTTTATTTTTTAAGACTTACGTATCAGATAAATACGTCACGTAAACCACCGCTCACGTAGTAGATGTAGCCATGCGATACACGTTTTCTAACGATTTCAAATAATCAGGGATACACTTTCTTTTTTTGTATTCACCAGTTCAGAGGATTTTTAATGAATAATACGAGTGCGATCCAACAAGTACTGTCATAAGGGTTACCAGATGTCCTCTTTTCAGGAGGCTCTTCTTTACTATCGCAGGCGAAAATCAA